CCAACAAGCTTCAGACATGGTAACTTTAGGTACAGGCATCTCCGTGCAGATTATATTTGACAGAATGCTTCTTCTGCACCAAAGCTGGCAGTGAAGAACCTATTAATGATGTCACAGCCTTCAAGTAATGACAAGAGCATTTTCCCTCAAGGATGACAACACACAATATAAAATATGAAGGTATAGACGCTGAAAATGTGCGGGCCTAAAGCAAGTGATTCTCAGTGAACAGCTCAGACAGGTTGCAAACAGGATTAATGCCTCCTGTAATAGCTGAAAGATGACTGCATACACAGTGTAATTTTAATGATGCTAAGGATGAGCTTGGACAAGGAAGCGTCCTGATCATTGTACATTCCGCTTCTCAGCCCTCTGATAAAGAGAGAAGAGGTATAAGGGACATCGGTTGTTCTGCTCCCAGTAAATATTAACTAAGTATGGAAGCAACAGACAGGAACTATGCCTCCTCAGCAGCTATTTCTTGCTTCAAACTAAATGCAGGCTGCTGAAATACAAGTTCAGGCAGCCCAATTCAGACTGACACATAAACAGAACAAGGCAGAAAATTGGCTGTGAGAATCAGGAGCCAGTTCATGGAACACATATGAAACAAGAGAGTAAACGAGAACGCAGTTATATAGAGTTGCAGTTTGATCTCAAGTTTCACCCATTCTGACTATAGGATGCTGGCAAAAAAACAGATATATTCTCTTATCCCTCTCAGCCATGAATTCTTCTCATGCTAAATCTCATAGCTTGTGACTGCACAGCGCAGTTCAGGAGCTTGCTGATCTGGAGGAACACAAACTCATTTAAACCAATCAAGAAAATAAGACTGTTTTTTCCCCTGCCCACTGCCTTGGTTAATTGCAATAACAATAAAGTTTGTTTTTTTTTTTTTGAAAGTTACATAAACTTGGTAGCACAGCTCATCCTGCAAATGGATATGCTGGTAACAGCTCTTCTTAACATCTTGAGTATGTTAATAAATTTGAAGAAAAATTAAACTTCGATAACTTTAAAGAACCTCCAACAATCTCTTGTATTACAGGAATTGGTTTCACCTGTTTAATGTTTTTTTCTGGAACAATGATACAAAATGACAAAGAGTGAATAAGGCAAAACTGAACAATTTTTTTCTCTATAATTTACTTATTAATTGCATACTATTAAGAATGTAAAACTTTAAAAGTCCTCACTTGCTCCAAAAGTTATAGCAGTGAAACAGTTTCCAATCAATTTTATGAACAGCTTTTTGCTGTTTTGCTTCACATGTGATAAAAAAAAATTCTTCTTCAAAAAGTCTTCCAGCAAAACTCCCACACAATGCTGGCAGAGAGATAAATCCTACAAAAAGCCAATAGAATAAATGACCTCAAAATGCTTTCAAAATCTGGAGTATCAGTCTTTATGAGTTAATGTTATCTATATAATACTGAGCAAAAGCTTCTGTCCATTATTACATATTACACTTCAATGGTTAAGAAAAAAAACTAAAATTCAAAAGCATCCTACAGGATGCTGAATTAACAGGGTCCTACAGGACCCTAATTAAATAATAGAAAGCTAGCAAAGTTTAGCTTTAAACTAAACTTGAAAGTCTTCAAAGAAATGCTAGCACATTTATAGGATGCACCGGCGAAGCTGTTAGCTTTATAACTAAGTGGAAATAACCCATAAATAAATTGAAATATCTTGCTTCATTATATTTCTACTTCTAGTTTATTTGCACTTATTTTAAAAAGCTGTATAAGATAGACTTCAAGTTTGGAAGTACAGAACTTTCAAGAGGAGGAAATTTCATTTTTAAGATTGTAGTTTTATTGCTAATATAGTTCTTTATGTTTTCCAGTTAAGAAATTATTAATATTTTAAAAGCACTGAACATTCATGCAAGTTTTGGAATTTGGGTTTCTAAGTAGTTTACAGAAACATTTTCTTTGCACAAGACTTTCAGTTTTGGTTTGATTCCAGATTTGAACAGATAGTCAAATTCCACTTGGTTTTGCACTGCCAGTATTATGGATATTGCAAAATCTTTGCTCTGCCTACAAAGAGACAAAGCACATCAGCAGTTCATAAAATAAAGAGGCTGAAAAAACCTACAGTCAAATGTGCAATCAAATATATGAAAGTTTTTGTGTGACTTGTGCAGTAGAAAGACATCACATTATTTCCATGATGAAATCATTGCTTTCACACAGTTTATTGAACAGTGTCAAAATGCTCCACAACTACATATGCTGATTACCTCTTCCTAAATACCGTCAGAACATGAATAAAAAAATCCAAGAAACAACATCCCAGTATACATTATGGACTAGTTAAGTTACCCTTGACAGCCTTTGGTTACTTCATTAAGTTCCCAAGTCCATGTGGTAAATGACTATTTGGGAAGGCAATTGGAGTCCTCAGCACATGACCAATTCCAGGATACCAGAGGCGCAACTCTCGGCTCAAGGACTTCAGGTTGCCTGTCTGCAACATGTACAGTAATGGGCTCTGCCTTATTCAGCTACTAGAAGTGATTAAAAAAGGAAAACCAAAAAACAAATCATATTCCCAGAAGTTAACTACAACCTGGTTTCTCACAAATCTAAACACAACAAATAGATAAAGCAGTGCAGAGGTGCCTCTCTGGTGATGAAATAAGCTTTGGAAATCAGAAATCACAGCTAAAAGGAAAAGAGCTTGCATTTAAAAAGGAAAGTGTGTAAGTACAATACTTCTGTCATTATATCACACCTCAGGCAACATGGAACATCCTTCATCTGGATGACTCAGATGGCTTTAAGTACTTGACAAATGCATTTTCTAATCTATAACTTCAAAGTGTAATAATCAAGTGTCATTTGAATTTTCTGCAACTTAATAAGAGTTTCTTAGAAATAAGTTGTTTAAGCTATTTATACTTCTGTATATATTTAGGATTAAAAAAAAGTAAAAAGTCTCCTATTGAAAAGCTAATTAAAGAATCAGAACTGTCCAGATGTATTGGCAGGTGAAATACTTCAATGTTTTATGAGTTTCCAGGGATATTTCTGCTTGCAATAACAATAGCAGATCAAGTAAATTTCATTTATTTACAATATGCATCAGGTGGCCCTGGGTGTCATACAAACATGTAAAACATTAGGTTCTTGCTAGTAGAGCCTAAAGACAAACAAAAAAGGAAAAGGAGAAAAATCAAACTGAAGAACAAATATCAGTGAAGGAGATTCCCACAAAAAAAATCTAAATATATAATGAAAGAAAATAGAATTAACATTAAAAAAAAACAAGCATACTTCTGAAATAATATGCTTCTGCAATGATGCTGCAGTGTTTTTCAGAGCTTCTTAAAGTTTTAATCATGTAAAAGACGTACAGAGATAGCTACAAGATAAGTCAACTAGAAGTCATTTCTGCAGCAGAGAAGAGCAGCTCTCTGCTCTGGCCACATTTAATTAGTTTGCCTAATGAGCTCTTTTAACACAACTACTGAACTATTCACCTGCTCTACCTTTCAGGTGGAAATATCAAATACACAATTTCCACTTCGACAGAACAAAGAAGTTCTCTGCAAAATGGAAAAACCATTGTTTTGAGTCAACTCTGGAATCCACAAAAGCTATTTTGGAACACCCTTCTCTCAAATATCTTCAGTGTGATTTTGTTATTATTTATTATCAGTTAAATACATAAATTAGTACATATTACTGAAACAATAACTAGACAATTACTATTTACAGTTATATGGAGCTAGAGTTATCGCTTGTGAATGACTATATAGTATGATAGGACAACCCACGCATAAGAGAACTCCCATGGCTATTTCCACAGAAACTTAACCTTAATCTTCAGATTAAAGCCCTCTAATATGTTAAAAAAAATAATAACACAATGTTAAGGATGCACTTAATACATTGTTCTGATATCAGCTGATCACACAACAGAGTCCTGCATCAGGCAGTACATGGAATTAGTTCACTAAGTATACTACAGTGTTATAGCTGGAGTAAGTGGGCAGCAAACATAGCTAAGCAGATAGGAACAAGGAGTGAGATGAAGAAAAGCAGCCTAAGTGCACTAAGAAGTTAGAAGCCAGAAATAATGCTGCTTTTCTGAGTGATAATCACTCAGACTGTAAGGGAAGTCCTCAGCTTATCAGAACAAACTCAGAAAGGCTGACCCTTAGGAAGTCAGTCAGGGAAGTACCAACTGAAGGGCTCTGAAAGCTTTCCTTCCCTCCCACGTGACTAAAATCAAGATTAATTCCTTCAACACCAGCAATTTTCCCATTGTTTTTCAATCTTATACAAAACCCATCAGCAACGACTTATTTTAAAGTTTATTTTTCATGTCTTTCTAAGAGCTGGCTAGCTTTAATGTAAATGCAGTTCTTTAATCAAGGAAAGCAGCAATTCAGACAATACAATCCAGGTGGTCTCTTTTAATCTTACACGTTCTGAATATTCTGTTTATTGTTAACAAAAAAAAAAAAACTCTAATGGACAAAAGAGGAATTGTCCATGAACAATACATTTTGATTTAGTATTTCGAAGAGTGGCATAACAGACTAACAAGAATACAAAATGCACTGAAAGCTACAGTTAATACAACTGTACTACAAACAGAAGAGTTTATTTTGACACTTACAGAATAAATTCTGCCAATAGCATAAATGAATTAACCATCTAAATCTGTCTTGAGGTCTAAAGGCACTCACAAGCAAGAGAATAGCTATATGACATGGGAAAATAAGCCTAGGAGAAGGTGAAGTTTTTTCCTAGACTTCACCATGTAATTTCCTTCAATCAACCATTTTAACAGGCACACATTGCATTGCCTTACATGACATATGACAGAGAGAAAACAAATTTCTTGTCCTGATTACGTCATTACTAGTACGTAAGTAACTGTATAATCAATGAATATATGGATATCATAATTAAGAAATATACAAGAAAGTTAGGCTAAACAAGTTATCACACTAACGAAAAAACAGATAGAGGGCTTACTCTTGTCCTAGGCTCACTGAGAAGAATCCAAGAGACACCATCTCCAAAAGAGATCCTCCCCCACAGGCAGTCAGCTCTTAAATGGGGTTTAGGAGAGGTGGAACCATGCTGCACCCTTCCAGTAGGGCAGGAGAATTGCCTTCACCTGTGCTCCAAGGGCTGACTCATTGCTCGCTTCAGGTGGTCAATCAGAGGTTCAGGCCATGATTCAGCAGTTCCCATACAGTAACATTAAAAAAATACAGCTGGAGGCTCAAGTTCAGGTAAAAACCTAGAAAGTGAAATATGCTGCAATATCTTACTCTTACATCTTTAGAATCCAACAGAAAACCTAGCAAAAACTAATTATTGTATAGTAAATCTTATTAAAATCCTAGGTAGAAACAAAAAAGCAATCTGAAAGCACATTTTAAATAATTCATATGCTGTTCTAATATGGATATTTCATTAATTATTCCCTAATACATATACATCACTCATAACTGCCTTCTGCTAAATAAAGAAAAGAACAAAAATATACAATATTTTGTGTGGCTTCCAGGAGAGACTTGGATGAGATAATAAAATAAATAAATGAAATTGCAAATGTTCCAGAATCCAACTGAATGCCTTCCTCAACAATTTGGAAGGTATGTGAGGCTCATTCAGTGTATAATCGTTACTTATACGTGAAATGGTGCTCATACAATTATTAATATTTGTCATTTTATTGACTAAGTAGAAATGAACTAATGCAAAAAAAAAATCCATTTTTATATTCAAATTAATGTATTTAACAGTGTTGAATTGGTATGCAATTTCTTGATTTTTTTTTTTAATAAAACTGTGATATCACTGAAGAACAGTTTGGGTTTTTTTAAATCTCTGTCACTCTTGCAATTTTAAAATTTTATTATTCTATTATTTATGATTGGCCCATGAATTTAATCACAATGTTTATTGAAGATATCTATGGAAACAGGAGATCTCATTAAGTGAAGTGGTCAAGGTTTTACAGCTGGTATCAACTTAGGTCACCAAGGGTTCTGGATCAACACTAATTAAGGAGATGTAATACAAACTAACTTGTTGTTTTACCTTGATTTAAACATTTATTGTTCAGTTCTTTGGGTTTTGCTGTCTGAACCACAATACAGAAATACAAGAGTAACACAGAAGAGTGACCTAGTTTCTGTGTTGAAAGTGGTTAACTGGGGCAGTACAAAGTTCAGTACGTCCATAGCAAATTTTTTTTTTTTTTTCCCACTACACTACTTCCAAAATTAAGCTTCAAAGTATCACATAGGGCCTGTTTTCCCATGGAACCTTTCTTTTCTTAAGAGGACAAATGATCAATTGAGTACAACTGCATTATGCTCATTTTATTACGTTGGCTTCCAAACAGATCCTCAGTAGGTGAAAGATTCAATGCAGTATTGAAGTGCTCAACATCTCCAGCTTACCAAGTAGATGTCTGTATTATATTATTCTTTGTACACAGCCATTTTCTGAGACTTGGAGGGCAGAAAGGTTAAAGAGCAGGAGAAAAGGTCAGTCCAGATAAGTAAAAGTCCATATTTCATAGAATTACTGTTTTACTTATCACTTTCCTTGAGATTTGACAGGCATACTAGTGATTAGGTTATCACCTTCAAATAGATTTATAGGCTCTAGGAAATTTTTATTCAACTTACCCTTGGGGATGTCTTGATATAATGTCTTTATGTTGGCAATTGTGATTTTTAAAGGTCTCACAGAATAATTAAAGAAGACATAAGCAGCGAAGAGAACATCTTTGGATTTACTATCCTGGTAGCAAATATTTAACACTATTTAAAATATAGGCTTGTTTGCTTTGCTGATTGATTTTGAAAGCAATGTTACTGTTCAAAAATAGTTTAAGACAGAGAATGAAAATCAATATTTCTACTTTGGTTAACTTTGGTATTTGGCTTTCGTCATTGGTGATCTTATCTGATGCAACATTAATTAACTTCAAGAGATTCTTTCCTATTAATTGGACAGGTAAGCACTGAAGCAACCACAGTAATGAATCTGAGCTTATCATATGCAGGGCACAATACAACCAGCAAGAATTTAAATAGGGAAATTTTCAATACCTCTTACACTTTCTTAGAACCAAACACAATTGAATCACTGTTTTGCAACTAAACATCATGAAGCCATGGATTTACTGAACAGCTGATTTTGCAAAATATTTTCAGTCTGTTATTGTTAGAACTTTGATGTTCATTATGAATTCTTACAAAAAGTGTTCTTGCCAAGTTTGCAACAAAAGACATTCCAATCTCTACAGAAAACAGTAGATAAGATACAATGCTATACAATGAAAACAATAGAATTGCTATTAGAAGCAGCTCTGAGAAGCTACAGTAAGACAACAGATAGGCAACCACCTGTTCAGCAGTAGGACTCTCTTTTGGAAAAATATATGGAGTGCTAGCTTATCAAACTGGCCTTCAGTGCTGTTTTTTCTTTTGCAAAATCAGCCAATAGGTGTATGAAATAACTGTCATAGTATATCACTGGTCAGTTATATCACTCTCATTTCAAAAGCAGAGATTTTCTTGCTTTCTAACTAAACACCCTACTAAGCCACTTTGAGACTAACCCATGTTTTTCCTTTTCAGTTTCACTGGGTCTATGTACAACACCAGTATTAAAATGAATGAGATCCTTTTGTACTTTGCTGTTAACGCTCATCAAATATTCACACAGTTAACACAGCCGTCTCAGTATTACAACAATTACTCAAAAGTAAGAAATGAACATGTCCTCACAGAAGGAAACTTTCTCAACTTACTGTTTCTTCAGTTTCAGAAGCAGATACGTGCTCATTTGGGGGAGATGAGCAAGGAATAGGGGAGGGAGAACTGTCACTGTTCCTTTCACCCATTTTAGACAAAAACATTGACCGTCAGCTAGTTTCTGACAATTGGCTGTTATTAAACTCCAACTCGCTAGGGCCAGCTGTGCCTAATTTGAGTCACTGGTGCAAAAATAACCAGTCAGCAGGAATTGAGGCAATTATGGGTAATTTTGCTGTAGTGCAGTCCTGCATGAGAATCTCAGGATTAACTTTAGGCTGGCATACCAAGGTGATTGAAAGAAGAATCAAAGGCTTCCATAAAATCATTGGTAGTCAAAATTAGTTTTTGTATGAGCTGATTTAGGAAGTTTGTAAGCTATATATATATATATATATATATGTATTTTTTTTTTTTACTTACAGGCAGATGGTTGAAATTATCTTAATGCCTGAATATGTATAGAGGTACTTATTAATATAAAATTTGTAAGGGGTTGTTTGTTGTACTGATAAACATCCAGTCCACCTGCTCATATGTTAATCTATAATTGTTTTTTCAGCCCAATCAATTTATGTATATATCTAGAAATTTCTATACCTTTCTTTCTATTTCTCTACCAGACTGAAAAGCAATACTCTTACTTTTAATTTTTACTTAATTTTTAGAAAATATTTACTTCTTTCTGGATGGAAAAACAAGTAATGCTCTCTTCATAAGAACATACATAAAGTACGTATAGTAAACTAATTCAGAGTAAGAAATGTTCTTAAATCAGCCTTAAGTTCTGTTTCTATGTAAAAAAGTAGAGTAAGTAGATAATACGATTTCAATTATCGGTTTTTTTCTTTTTTGAAAAAAAATTGTAAAACAAAACTGTAAACCTTAATACCACAAGATGCGGTTTATTTTATACTTTGAAAAAGAAAAAAACAATTTTGGATGTGCTATGTCACTTAAACAGCTTCCTTAAAAAAATATTTTTAAAAGTATGGTACAAGTAACAAAAATAACCAAGCAAATAAGTTTAAATTTGACAAAGTCCTGTCATTAATAGCAGAATCAGCCAGAAAAATATGAAAGAATTTTAGCTTTGTTTTTAAAGGTGACAGCTTACTGCCTTTGATTCATGTATCACTGTAGAAAATCTTTTTATAGAGAGAAAATAATAATCTCTTAATTACATGTGAGAATTACTACAACTTTCAGTCTTTGAAACTTTAAGGATATTATATTTGAGTGGCAAAAATATCAGGTATACTGACACTGTTTACTTAAGTCAGCTTCTGCTGTAAGAAAGCATAGGTTCCCTACCTCTAACAAGGTATAATTTAGGACATCAAGTCTCTGTTCAAGCTAATAAGTAGATCTGTGTCCCTTCAATTATTTATTCCTCTAGCAGACAATTCCATTAACCCCCTCCTGTGCAATAATTTGTTCTGCCACATGTTAGAAAAATTATTTTCCAGCTGCTCAGCAATACTGCTACAGTAAATTGAAAGTATTTTCTGGTAGACAGCTGATACTCAACAGAGAGGCAAACAGTGACATCTGATACATGGAGGGTAATGTGGTAATAAATAGCATAAGACAAATGTTAAGTTACTCCAGCATGATGTTTGCGGACTGACAGCAAGAAGAGATGTAAAGATACTTATGAATTATTCACTCACCTCAAGAAATAAATTAAGGCTTTTCTTACTCTATGGGTGAGAACTAAGAAAAGAACACGGACACCTGTTACATAGAAGTTAACTTTGTAGTAAATGATACAGTATAAAAATGATTAAGTTCATCCACCGTGATGTGGCAGACATAAAATGACAAAACATGTAAAATTGTGATAAATTATTCATTTAGCTTAGGTAAACAAGAACCCATTTCATTTTCTGTGCCCAAGAGGACTGTCTGGTGAGTGTGTGGGAAAAAAAGCAACAGCATTACAGCAGCTATTACTTTTGTACTTTATTCTGTAGGAGGCTATACAGCCAAGGAACCGGCACATTTAATGGAGTCATTTTAGCAATGCCACATCAAATGGTATTTCCATAGCAGTTACAATTTTTCTGAATGGGTATCCTTAGCATGTAACTCCAGATTGACAGCAATGAATAACAGCAGAAAGGAGTGTCCTCACCATGATTTGTTGGAAAATTCTATATTGAGCAAATAACTGCCATTCAGGGCTAATTGAGATGGGTGGAGCTGATGAGGTTATATTTTAGTATAGACCAGCTAGCACTGGTCACTAAGTAGTGGCACCCAGGGTTGCTCTGACTCAAGAGTGATTGCTTTCAACGTGTAAAATAATCCAATATGTATAGTGATCAATTATGCACTCACCTGAAATACTATACTCCTTGTTTTCTAATGAAGGATTCTAGAGAATTGTAAAATGAAAAGGAGTGGCACTTCAGTCTGATATAACAGGTGAGACTGGCAGTGAGGAGCAAAATAAAGGGATGATAAAAGGGTATAGCAACTGGAAAAGGAAAAATAAAAAAGACCAACTAGGAAAGCAAG